AACGTATGGATAGGAAAATGGAGAAGAAAAAAGTTAGTTTAGCGTCTTTTCCCATGAGTACTTGAACTTCGAAGGAAAGATCACCAGCACCAAGAGAAAACAGGCATTTTGGACTGGAAACTCACCCTTGGATGCGGCTTGCCTGGCTCCCCTTTGTCCTGCAATGCCAGGCCAAATGACAGTGCCATAGCTCTCATAGCCTATATGAGAAGTGGAAAGAATTTTTGCATTTCTTGAAATGGGATGAACCTATTACAAAATTTTATCAATCCACATATAGTCCATGCCAATTTCTTACAATATTGTGGAATGCATTGCACCCCTATAAGATTTCATCAAACTTCAGGTGGTGGTGCACCTGGTAAGTGAGACACTTATTCACTTGAGCATTGAATGTGAAAAGTCTAACGTTAATAATGATGCAAGAACTTTTCCCAATAGTGGTTCGTCAATTTTTCTTGACTTTTCAACTTGAATTAAATCACTGACACCCTCCTTTTTCCTACTGTGCACAATACTTCCCATGGGACAATGAAAACAAGAGTAGCTTAACTAAGTCAAACTTCATTATTTTATTATTTACAAGCATCATATGTCATGTGACATCACTACTAGATGAACCTGAAAGTAGTACATGACTGGTGTAAGGTTCACAAATTTTCAAACTGGATAAGGTATGCTGACTGAGCAGTCACACTGCCTATGAATAAAAACTCTTAAGAAAAAGTGAAAATGCCTTAAAACCTGAATTGAAACCTGAACCAAAACAAAAGTTATTTGGAATGAACATCATGTGAAGGCCGAAGCATTGGTCAGTAGTCTCATGCATTTATTTTGAGCTGATAAAAAACTAGAATTATTAGTTAAAGTTTATCCCACAAATTGGAATCATAGCACAGGAAGTACCCCTTATAGGAACAAATTTCTGGAATTTCACTAAGTGACACTCAAAGAAAAGAGATAATCTAGGGGGCAAGCTTTTGATCAGTTGAATGAAACTGCCTTGGAAAGTGGAATTAATTATACTTAACAGAAGAAGTAGGCCTGTTTTTGACCTGCTCTCCTTAAACTATCACACTTGAAGAAAAACGGCACAAACATGAACTATATCAAATGAGTGATGCAGATGATGAAAAATTGATCCACCTTGCAAATTTCTGTATTCATTGGTAATAAACAAGCACAATCAAGAAG